TCATAAATGATTAATGGATCATCATCTAAAGTTTAACACTTTAAGTCTTTCCAAATACAAAATACACCTTCTTTAACAATTTTTAAACAAGAAGTATAACTAAGTTTTGAATCACAACCTATTTTATCATAATTCTCAAATTTTATACAAGTTCCATAATAGGCTTGTGATTCATTTTCTTCGAGAGACTTTTATACTTTAAATAATTTAAAATCCCAATAACAATCACTTATAGTTTATTATAAACATGAATTAATATTAATGTTATCTAAGCAATTATTTTAGCCTTCAACATTATTAAAAGATTGACATTCATTATTATTATAAATACACATTTATCCTTATTTCATTATATTCATACAAGCTCTTTAACTTCCAAAATAAGCAGTTACATCTTCACAATTCATTTAAACTGAACTTATAATTGAAATTAACCCAACATTGATATCTTAATTTTCTAAATAAACACATTTCATTTCTTCTTTGTCCCAAATACATGGCAAAATAATCATTCTGCTACATTATTTTGGTGATTATAATTATTCACATGAAATTGGATTAATAATTCTACATTTAAATTGTATTGTATCCAAAATACAGAATTTATCTTAAATAGAATTACAAACACTCAAACTTGAGTACTAAATATCCTCGCATTATGCATTTGAAATAATTTTATAGCCTTCACATAAATTAGACCTCCATTAACATTCATATAAATTTTAATTTAGACAAGTTTCTATTGAAGTTGCTTCTCTACAACATAAATTTTTATTTTAATGATTGCAATTATAAATTCCATTATTGGGACCGAAACAATAATCAACAAATTAGCATTACAAATTTTTTTTTGTTAATTATAGACAAGCTACTCTGTTTATTCCTTTGGAACAACTGAGATCATCGAATTAAGATACAATTTAACAAGCTTGAGAAGAATAATCATATCTGCATCCCTAATCTTTTGGATACTGACAAAAAGCATAATTATTAATTTATTTCACTTCAATGCATTTTTAATTTCTGATCATTATTAAATTTTATTATTTACATTTTGCATCTTCATATTAACAATATTATCCTTCTGTTTAAATATTTATACATCCAATTAAATTTTAAGCTTATTAGCATAAAATTTTATTGTAATCTGATTTTTTTATTTTTATACATTTACCATCCTAATTCATGCATCCCTCTATTTTGATAGTTGAACATTCATTTAAATTTTTCATATCTTCACATTACTTTAAATTTGATTTTGAAATCTTATAACAATACTCTTTGAATAAACAATTATCTTTATTTAATTCACAAGCCAGTTAGTTGTACCCTTTTAATTCAGGGTTTTATTCAGTACATTCTACTTTAATATCACTTGTAACTTAGGCACATTTATAATTTAACTTATCAAAATAACAAGGAACATCTTATGTTTAAGCACAAAATAAACCATTATTTATATATTCTA